AATTAGATGTGACTCCTTGGCAAAGCTTCTCATCTCAGAATAAATGAGCACAGTTACACTTTATGGTGTGACGTTGGTATGGAGGGCCGACCTCACAAGGCTCTGTAGGCACTTTCATATAGATATATATTTTCTCTATGTTATCATGGATCAGTTTTGTCACAACAAAGTTTATCCAGCACTTTCTTTAATAAGCATTAAACACTGTTTTTTCTATATTCTACTTGTAGTGTTAATTCCTTTTTTGTAAAGGTCTGCAGTGGTGTTTAAAGGACAGCAAAAAGAAAACATAATGAAACCCATTTATGCATTTCAACATCGCCGAGCAGCTGAAGTCATCCAAGAGGCAAAAGCTATCAGAACTAAAGCGTTCAATTTACTGTTATTAAAGAAGAAGAAGAATTAGCAACGTGCTAAAAAATCCAATCGTCTCTGTAAAATTGTGTCGAATCAGTTGGAATTCATTCACTCTGGGTCTCTCAGTGACTGTTTCCCTCCTCTCTCAACCTGCATTCTCTGTCTGCTTCCCACATCTTTGGAAAATCTAAATAAACTCAGTTCTTTTTCTCAAGCTCCACTGTTATGTCGGCTCTTGAAACCTTTTTGTGTATCGTCAAGCCGTGACACAGCTTTGGCTAACCTACCTTACAGGAGACATATAATACCCTATTTTAACAAGTTAAACTAGTTCCCTGGTGTCCTAATGTAATGTCTGTGACAAGATTTGGTCAAAATCCCATAAGGTTGAAGCCCAATAGCTACCACGCTAACGCTACCATGCTAACGCTACAATGCTAACGCTCACGCTACCACGACGTCTCCACAGATAGGGGAGTAAGCTGAGGGGGGGGGGCAACATGCAGGTGAAAGGCTGGAATATTATAATGAGCTAGATAATATATAATAATATTAATATTATAATAATAATAATATTATAATGAGCTAGAGCTAATGACGTCAGAAACTACCCACTCCTGAAACCTCCTGATTTATCTCCTGGATTCAGACTGAGACAGCCCACAAAAACAAGACCCAGTCATTTTTTTTCACACTTTGCCTGCTAATAAGCCCTCCATAGTCCCACATGTACAGAATCAAATGATTACAAACTTGGTTTTGCATAATACGTCCCCTTTAAGGAGGAGAATCTAACTTCACACAGGGTTGTGAAGCTGAACCACAAATGTAGTTTGAGGTTCAGATGGATGCATGGCCATGCGACATGCTCTCTGTTCTCTTTATGGTTAGATATTATTGTTTCTCTATTTAAAGAAAGTATTTACGCCTTTGTGGCTTTTTCTTTTAATTGTGTGCGTGTGATTGTGTAAAGACATAAAATTAACGTTTACATTTGACAGCATAGCAAGGACGTAATTGTATTCTAAGTTTGGTAAGTGAGACTCATCTGTTTGATGACACAACACTGTGTTCCCATCATAAGCACAAAGTCAAATAAATCATGTCTGATGGGCTACACATGATGGGCGACGGGAAATGTGCGTGACAGACACAATAAATCTGTAGACACTCTCCAAATGCAATCTGACAATAATAAAAGTACAATTTCTAGCAATTTATGGGAAATCTGTCAATATTAATGGCACCATGTGTATGCATTAAACACACTCCTCTCCGTTTTTCTATATTTCTGGCACGAATTACGACAGTTAGTCTGTCATGAATTACTGTCATAACAGACTGTCACAACAGACTATTACAATGTAAATCCGAAGCCCCTCTGCATTACCAAATAGCGTAATTGAACATTATAAGTTCATTACTGAGTTACAACTTGGAGCCAGTCAACCTTACATAATTTCCCTATTTACCAGCGCAGAGGCAACACCTCAGAGAAAAATAATAAATAAACACAGCATAAGATTTTAGCTCTTGTCACGAAGCACATTAAGATGACTAAAATGGTCCTTTAACATGTAAACATATCATTTTACACCTGAATCCTTTTAAAGGTGGCTCCTAAAACTGGACTAACATGTCCAGATAAGGAGGATGGGGATCATATCTTGGGCCAGGAGATCTTTACAAGCTCCAAAGTTACATTATCAATGGTTATTAATGCAGACACTTTACAGAACAAAAATGGGCTGCTTGCATCTTTCATGCAAAGTGTGTCAGAGGTTTTGTTAAAAGTCAGGATGATAAGACTTTCTTTCATTTTAAGAAATTAGAGCTGTTGCTAAGCTCTAATGACATTCCTGATTTAATTTAATCTGACACGATTGTTTGAGTAACTCAAAGTCATATGATTTTGATGTCTTCTGTATATGGAGCCCACAGAAGGACAATTTGAACACACTTTTGTCAATAACTGATTTTTCAGTCGAAAGGCCCGGTGGAGCTGTAGCTATTGCCCTTCTCTCTGTGGAGGTATTGGGTTTAAGAGTGAGGCCTCCTATACGGTACCAGCTCGGGAAAAGGGGTTCGGCAAAAAGAAACAACACAAACAAGATCCAGCGGTTAGATTTTTAGTTTAGAATTGACTTTACACAAGTGCTGATATATGAATTAAATAAATGACTGATGGCTACACATGGTGTTAGAATTTGAGATGCATTTATTTGTGTTTTGCTTGAAAAAGAAATACATTTGTTAATGTTCTGGTACCCAATTGTGTAGTTTTCAGTGTGTCTCTGAAACCACCTGGAATGCATGTTTCTGGATGGAGGCAGGAAGTGGTCAGAGTACCTGCATCCCACATGGTAGAGTCTTTCTGAACTCATGTACTCCTTAAAAGTGATCATTCCAGTGCGATCCATGCTAAATGTGTCCCCCTTTTCCTCCAGTGTGTTCCAGCCCGATCACCAGTAAATGCCTGTGGTGTGCTGACAAAGACAATGACACTTAGAGGGTGCCAGCCATTAATCCACTTAGACTTGTTGCCTAGTGCAATTCCACGATTACAGGGGTGGGTCAAATTCTATTAACCTCCAGAGCTGAAATATCATGCCTGAAGAAATGCATGCAGATGGTGGCTGTACTCACAGGCACAAATTAGACCTGCTTGTTTAAAAATTAAATAAATAAATTGGCTTTTTCCATAAAAACAATTCTGTAGTTTTATGAGAGTCTCTGGAACAATATATGGATAAGTAGCATGTGGTCTTTTTAAGGGATAGAAGCAAAGGATCAGACAAAGCTGGTCATAATAGGAGAGGGTCCAATAAATTCTTAAAGCGGTAGATGTACAGGTATCAGAATCTGTTAGTTAGTTAGTGTTCGGTGGTTAACTAACCACTAAACACCTCTTAATGAAGCCATTCATGTGTTTCAACAAGGAAACATGCTGTGTCAAACCTCGTATGGTTTAATTTTGAGGGAGAAGTTTATGCATTTCCACTAACAGCAACTGGTGAAAAAAAAAGGTTAATGAATGTATTAATAATTAAATAATATGCAATCAACATATGAAATGAGATATCTGAGATTTATGTTCCGAATTATCTTTCAAGCAGCTTCAGTGTGCTAAAAGCTAGAAGTCCTTTACAGATGTAGATTATTGAGTATAAATGTGTTGAATACATTTTTGCAAGGGGGAGATTTTGTCACATTTGCAGGTGAAGGAAAGTTCTTACATACAAAATAAAGGAAAAATAACTCTTTGTCATTTCTAAATCAACAAAATGAATGTAATGTAATCCTTTCAATGTGTCATAAGCCTTACTGGAAGCTTTTTATCCAAACTGCTTTTTCTGGAAAGGGTGATTAATAGATTTAAGGAAACCTTTTCAATCATTTTACGGAAGAAGGGGGAAGGTTAAAAAATGGTCTGTAGTTGGCTTAAATAATAATACAGTTGACTGCTATATTAATAGTGTAGTAAGTAGATTTAAAGGAGTATGTTTGTGTGGATGAGGGGTAGAATGAATGAATCTAAGGATTGGATGTTGGGCAGTAACTCAGCAAGATGTTAATTAGAATAAATAATATTATGAACACTTTTTTTTAAAGTGTGTTAAGAAAGTATGTTTTTGCCAGCTGTGGGATGGCTAATATACATTTTTATCTCTAAAAATACATCTTAATGAATAAAAGTTGATCAAATTATTAAATCTATACACTAAAGAAATATATACAATGCAATTCATCGTCAAACTATCAAAACCTAATCAAAGCCTGGTTTAGGCAGACATCTTTACATCTGCACTGACTAACCTGTTCAATGGTTACAGATTTTAAAATTCCACCAGCAGGGCTTTATGTGGCCTGGCGAGAAGAAAATATATTTAGGATTCACTTGGACTCACTGCAGAGGACTACAAATCTATCTGAAATGGGCTTTTCAGGGTTCCACTCTATTGATTTTTAACCTTAATTGTTCAGTGGGGTTAATAAAAAGTAAACAGACCAAGAATTATGTAGCCCCAGGCGTCAAAGTGCAGTCTGAGACGATGACCATTTAAAAGTTTTTGCTATGAAATTTCCCTTTTGTTCCTCAGAAAAAGCCGGGGAATGAACGTGTGCCTTATCAAGCTACTGATCAAGTTTGTATCAGCAGAGAACTGCGGCAGCCTCAAAACCCAGCGACTAACAGAGTCCTGCAGTCGTGGGCCTGGTGAATTATCGGCATTTTCAAAAGCTTTCTTCATGAGAATTTTTCAAAACACTAATAGCCTCGGAATAACATGGAGCTTTTCACTAGATGGAATCTGCGTCATGTTCAGCATCAATACCGCAGAGAGAAAACGGAGTTGAAAATCAAAGCGGCCATGCATACAGGTTTTTCAGGCCCACCATAGCATTGTTCGATAGAATTGATGTCGGGCCTGAAAAACAGTGGGACGTAATGCATTTTAAACAGATGCAATCATCTGAGATTGGACACTTTGTCATCGGTGTTGAATCTGGTCATTTCTGTCGCTTAACTAAAAAAGAACAATCAATACAGAAAAGCATTATGAGACAAAAAGAAGAAGAGCACACTGAGCTGTGTCGCCCAGTGTAATAGGTCAGAGTGTGTGTGTGTGTGTGTGTGTACTCACAGACTCTGTCGTAGCTCTGCTGTGTCTTTAGACGTACCCAGTGACTGAAGGTTTTTCTCTAGAGTGACAACTGGAGGAACAAACACATTATTCAGCCATACGAGCTTACAAAGGACCCACAAACACTCCTTTTAAAGCCGAGCACAGATCTTAAGATTAGTTTGCCAATCTCTTTATTATCTCACTGGTCCTCAGCCAACGTCAGAATTCAGACATTGCAAACCTAATTCAGTTACAAAGCCAAACCTGGAGAGAATGATTGTTTTTTAAATCATATATATGATAGATGTTATTCTTAATTCACAGCTTTAATCCTGAAATAAATCCAAGTTTACTCCAAACTATACTGCTAAGAAAAATCTCACAATCATCCCAAATACTGTTTTTACTCTCACATTAAGTAAAGGGACAGACACTCACATGTACATGCTGTTTATGTGATAAGTAGTCACTTTACCGTTGGAGTTTATCTGGAAGATATTGGAGGAGGTCTCCTGAAACACATCCTGCAGTTCTGAGGCGCTGACCTGTGTGGCTTTGGAGAAGACACAATGAGAGCAAACGCCTTTTAGCCCAGTGAAGCATCACACTGCAGACAGAGAGCAAACCTCACTATTCAAATATGTGAAACAAAATCAAGAAAAACACATAAGACAGAGCAATACTCAGATTTCCATTCATCCTGATCCTGTCTGTAAACTGGTTGTGTCTTTCAGTGGTGGACAAAGCACTCAATTCCATTACTGGAGAAAAAGTGCAGATCCCAGCGGTCAAATATTACTCCAATAAAAGTCAAAGTAGCTCTGCCAAATCACTACTTCAGTTAAACTACTCGAATGTCTGCTTTCAAAAACATCAAGGATTCAAAGTACTTGGGACAACTTTAATCTTAAAGGGACACGGTGTAGGAATTCCTCCCATCTGACGGTGAAATTGTATTTGACATTCTAACAAATTTTGCTCTCTAGTGCCTCACGTTTTCAAATGGGTATTACAGCTACAGTAGCCTACATGCATCAAGAAATAATGACAATATGACTTCCACATCATCAAGTTTTCTCTCAGGTGATGAGGTTTGTAATTGAAAAAATAGAATAAATACATAAATAAATAAATAAAATAATTAATAAAAACAAACAACTAATTGAATCAAAATTTCAGTGACGTGACTAGGCAGACTAGTGCTTTATATCCCTCCCTGCCATTATAGATTTTCAAAATGGTGTAATATACAGATATGAAATTCTTTGTTTATGAGAAGTCAGATCATTGCAGAGGTAGTTTTGAACCAAATGAAGATACATTTATAAATGAAGGATATGATTTTGGCTGATAAAATACTACACGATGTCCCTTTAAAAAATGTTTTCCACTTTCACTGAGTGTAGTGGAGAATAGTTGAGGACATTTTCCTCACACATTGGATGGGACAGCATCTGCCCATTCATGATAACAACAGCCGTGATAAGAAAGCATCAGCCTTATGAAGATCTTTTCCAGGCACTCAGAGGCGCTTTACAATTTGATGCATTATTTATTCGCTCCTCAGTCCCATTTTGGTTTGGAAGGATCATTCTGCAGCTAAAAAGACCCCAAAGGACCACCACAGTCACACTATCACAGTCTGGGTTTTGTGTCTTGCCCAGGGGCACAAAAACACTGAGTGCTGGGGCAGAGATTCAAACCGGCGACCATCTGGATACAGACTATGTACGAGAGGTGTTTGAGTTGGAATTATCAAAATACATGGAAACAAATCTTTTCACCAATGAAAGGAAAGCTGGAACTTTAAACGTTACATGTACAGCTTACACCTGAAGAACTTGAGACTAAAAAGAAATGAAAGCTTCTGAGTCTAACCCAGGATTGATGTCAGTGTCCTGTGCACCTGTACGGCAACACTCATAGGACAAAAATAATTCTTTTTATTTCATATTCAACTAGTTTAAAGCTGTAAATCACCACCTGCTGTACGGAATAGCAGTGAGTTATTTTACAGTGTGTCAGAAAGGACAAAATAGATGCAAACTGCCATTAAAAACACAACCAACAGAATTATAGAGTTGCGAAAGCCGTCGGAGGAATGCAGTGGACTAAAAAGTTGGATTTTGGTAGTTTTACTGGACTTAAGTACAGTACTCAAATAAGTTTACTTTGTTACTGTCTGCTTTGTATGATTTACAACAATATTGTTTCAGTTTTCCTCATGTCTACTTCATTCACAGCATTCTTTTGTCTCACCTGGAGCACTGCACTGATATAAAAAACCGTACTGCATTGGTTTAGGTCCTGACCAAAGTTTAGCTGCCAGCATCGTTATCTGAGGGTTTTCAGATTCTCTGTCTTGTGGACTGCTGAAGGTTTTGAAGTTTTTATAACATTGCTGTTCTACCTTCACATGGTGTCTCTCTATTTTGCTTTTATGATGACATAGTGTCTGATTCCATACAGCAGTTATGCTGATCAGATTGACCAGAATAATGGAACATGGGAGAGAAAGACTTTTTGACTGCTTTGCATTGTTTTTATTCTGTCAATTTCTGGTTTATCCCTACCTTTTGCTAAAGGTAAACCTTAGTCCAGAAACTTTCAGACTACACCCAACAGATGTTCCATTATCATATGCTGTCCTTCCAGTATAATATTCTCATTTATGAAGTAACGAGTATACATGTTGTTGGCCATACCCAATCCATAACAATCTGTTCCAGGAATTTTAACTGTTTACAAACTATTGGTTTTAACAATTGCTTTGTGACAAAACCTACTGCATTTTTAAACTTTGCTTCTTGTATATTGGTATGTAAATTCACTCTCTGTGTAGGGGTGTACATTTTCATAATGCATGTGAATTAGTTAAACAAAAAGTGCTCTATAGCCTAGCAATAAAATAAGTAACAGAATCTGACTAAAGGGTGGTATAGAGCATAATGGCATGTGTTCAGATGTCCATCACAAGGGGAAATGCGCTGTAGTACTTAACACAGCTGATTATCACAGAAGAATAACGGCATATTTGACTAATAACACTACTTATGAGCTCTTGAAGTGGGACACTGCACCCAACTATGAGAAGAAAGTTGCATAAAACTTTTAAGAACTGGAAAAGGGCAAAGTCACACCCATTCTTCTATAAACTTCTCCCTGTGGAAACCACACCAAGCATCTATGGGCTTCCCAAGATACACGAGAGTGGTCCTACCAAATATCAGCAGTATAAACTAAATTCCCCTTACCTCCATGTTTGCACCCCCTGTAAACACAATCACATATTATGCTACATGGAAGAAAGTCCAACATCGGACCTGCTGACAAGCCAAACTAGTTTGTCATAAAGCACATTAACACAGAGGACTGAAACATATGGTTAATAAGGGGGATGCAAAAAACCACAAACTCCCATTTCTGGATTGTGCAGTGCTCATGGAAGACGACAGAAGTCAGTATGTACATTCAAACCACATTGACGGATAACAGAAACACACAACACTAAAAGATGCGACAAAAAAGCTTTTCAAACCTGTGAAAATCACAATGGAGCCTAAGTCATATCAGCAAATATATGCAGACCAAACAACACTGCTAAAAAATAAAAAAGAACACACACAATGATATTGTAAATCCATATATCTATGAAAAACATAGAAGTACTGGTTGGTGCATGATGCATGTTTATGAAGCATTCAATGTAAACATTGTTCAATCATATTAAGTTTCAAAATAAATGAAAATGATAAATGAAAAAATTTAAATGGTCCAACAACACACACATACACAGTTCCATCATATATGCAGTGCAGTACATAAGAACATATCACAACATATTAGTATTTATTCAGGCAAAGACTGGCCTACATCTCCAAAGGATCTAGGGATGGTTTTAGTTTGATTTGCTGCTATGAAAATTCAGGAAAATGTGTGTGAATAAAACTGAATCAAATTGAATTGAGCTTTGTTTCCCAAGGCTGCAACTGCTTAGTGTAAAAAACAAACAAAAAGACAAACAAACAAATAAAGAAATCATTGACCCCATCTGGTAGTTCTAGGATTACTAAAAGAATGGCAGCTGAAGTTAAGGGTATTTTTTTGGCTGTATTTACCAAGACATCCCTTTCCTCGCAATATTATCCATTGTCTTCTGAGGTATGCCAAGGTATTCGTATGCCAGAGGGTATATATCATCTGTCCATCAATGTGTGGGTCTGCTCTATGGCCTCCTCCGAAGGGAGGTGACCATTAGGCATTAAAACTGACCATACCCCACTGCTTTCGATGCAAAGGGGCAGTGGCTCTAGCCAAAACTCTTGACAATATCCCCAAGCCTCTGAGTGCAGAAACCCTCCAAAGGAAATCAATTTGAGCCATCCATATCCATAATATTGTTTTTTCCTTTGCTTCCCAAATCCCATGACCATACTTAAGAGAAGAAAGACCGGCAACTTTGCCCTCAACCTCTGCTCCCTCTTCACCCAAATGGATTGGACCAGCATCCTCATCACTGATGATAAATCCCTAATCTATCTGCCCATCATTGCCTCTAACTTGCAATCAATTTTAATCCCAAGATCCCAAGAACATTCCACTTATTTTTTCAGTTGAGATGTGGAAACCGTTCAATCAAGCCATTTCACATTTAGTTGCAAACTCCTCCAGTAGCAGAAGCAAATCATCTGCACAAAAATCAGAGATGTTACCCTGAGGCTACTGAACCAGACAGTGTCCTCTCCCAGGAAATTTAGATCCATGAGAATCATAAAGAGGAGCAAGGGTGACAAGTGAAAAGGGTTAAGCCTTTCAGAGTCCAACACACACAAAATGCCACAAAGTGCCAAGAATATGGATACTGTTTTGGTCATACAAGGACCAAATAGTTCATAAAAGTGATTCCAGCATCCAAAGCTATCTCAACGACACAAGAGGAACACAGTTGTAAGTCTTCTCCCAGTCTACAAAGCAAATGCAAATTGGTTGGTCAAACTCCCATGATATGTTCTGTAGCTGTACATATTTGGTTCATTCCAGGATGGACCTATGATGGACCCTGATTCCCCTTTGTAAGTTGTTGAATGGTCAACAGATATACCTTCTCCATTGCATTCCCAAATTACCCTTAGGGTGTACCAGGGGCCTTTCTGTGTGGAGTTTGTATGTTCTGCCCATGTGTTACGACCCCTCCCCCAAGACCACCAAAGGTAAAAATTGGCACTGGGTCTAACACAAAATAAGGTAACCTGAGCAGTTGGTTTCAGTAGGAAAAAAGATAATTTAATTGATATTTCAACATAAAGTCACAATAAACATACACAGGGAAGCTTTTAGCTTCAGGGTCTCCAAGGCCAAAACAACAAACAAAACATCCCCCTTTTAATTATAAAGTAAAAACACTTTCTAGAAAAGGACTGAAAACAAAGTACAAAACCTGGACTCCCTGGCTAACCAATAAACAGGAGAAAAACGGTTAAACAAAATGGCAGAGAACCCCTACCAGCTTCCACTGTGAAGAAAACAAAATTATAAACACTTTAAGTTTCACAC